CACCGATCATCATCGCACAGCCGATCTACTCACAGGTAAACTCTCTCTCTCAATCTCTGTCTCTCTCTCTCTCGATCGTTGATTTTTTTTGTTTTATATATATATATATATATATGTATAAATATAAAATTTATAACTCAATTAAAAAGAACCATTCTTTATACATTTACTAGTCCATTTCATTCCATATTACACCAAACATAAGCAAAATTATGAAAATCAGATTCCAAAGTAGCAAAACCAAACATTATCAAACAATGTCATTGAAATCTCAAGTTCATTTTATTTGATACAAGACACCAAAAACACTAGTCGAAATTGTAAAATGAAGATCTCTCTTTTATGACCAAACTTGTGGAACAAAAGTGAAAAATAAACAAATAACATAACAGAGCAAAATTAAAGCAATTATAGCAATTATAGTCCATTTCTAAACCTTTTTTTCTCCTATTTTGTCAATCTTTATTTTGGACCTTTTTAATAAAATATTGAATTCCTTTAAACAGATTCAGATTAATAAAATATAAAATATAGTCACAGATTCAATTAAACAGATTGAATGTAAACAGATTCAGTTTGAATGTAAACAGACACAAATTCAGTTTGAATGTAAACAGACACAGACTAACAGACACAAATTCATGAAATTAACTGGGCAGTGAGTGTTCAGCTGAAGCACAATCATAAAATAAAATTTATTTACTTACCAAGTTGCCCAACTCTGAGACTAGTTTCTTTACTGTAGGCTTGAATTGCTAAATGACTAATCTCTGGTCACAAAACCTTGTGTGGAAGAATGAAGATGAGTACAAAATCAGCATTTCCGTGTAATATTTTTTCAAAATTCAAACTATAGGAAATTCAAAACAAAAAAAATAGAGAAATAAAAAAATATAGCTAATTCAAGTAGAGGAAGATTGAAAATTGAGGAAGGTAGCTGGAGTTTGATATAAGCCTCTAATCTGGGCTGGTAATACTTATTTGAACATTGCGTGACTTTTTCATGACCAATATGGCATGGAGGGCAACAAATTCACTAAGATTTGGCTTGTTCATTGTCTTTCTAAATATATAATGAACTTATTTTTTTTGGGAGCCATCAGTGATCAAGTCTTCTAAAAGTCAGTGGTCAAGTTTCCCTAAATGTTTTAAATTTGAAAGCACTCAACAAAATAGTTTTCTAACTATAGTTAATCATGTTGCAGGTTTTTCTTCAAGTTATGGAGTGCTTACTCAATCGTTTTAGTCAGTCAGCATTTATCAATTCTGTTCTGGATACTATTTTTCTCTGTTATTTTCATCACTATTGGCGAGAACTTTCTTAAACATTTAATAACAGACAGATTCATACAGATTATTCCACCTATTATTAAATTCATACCAAAATTAACAGACAGATTCATACCAAAATTATTCCACCTATTTTTTCTGAATTCCACCTAGTTGGTCAATCTAAATTCCAAACAAAACAATTAATAACAGACACAATTAGATGCCAAAACAAATTCAATAACAGACACAATATGAATTCCACACTCGATGATACTTTGTATCATTTACAAAGGAGTGTTATTTATGTGTGTCAAGCCAGAAAATGTTGCTAAGCCGTTTATGAAGTTTGATGAACAGTTTTCATTTACAAAAGAGTGTTATTTATGTGTGTCAAGCTAGAAAAGACCAATGAATGCATGGTAAAAAATGTTAGCAGGTTAAATCTAGTCAGTAATGAAACTTGTTTTAGATTGAATAAATTAATCCTTGCAATATTTTCTCTATTTGGTTATATTTTGCTCAAAAACTATTCTCCAAAATGGTAGAAGGCACCCGTCAGGGACAACAGCCCAATCAAATTAACTTCTACATAGAAAATCTCCGAGGTGTCATGCAGCATTTAAAACCCTTAGCTAATAGGTCATCATATAAGTGTTTCACAATGATAAAAATAAGATAGAAAATATATATCACTCACCTGATTGGAGTTCCTGGACTATAGAGTGGATTCTTGACAACCTATTTAACTTACAAATTATAAATATACTTCAGGGAATCCCTTAGATCACCACTCCTGGGATGAGTGACGAGAATGATCTGTAAACAAATTTATATGTAGTTGTACAATGAGAACTGTGTGGTTACACAGATACCAAAAATTAGTAATGAGAGCCTGAAGTGAAGTGAATCCTTTCTTTCAGAGTAGTGCTCTTACAGGTAGTCTCATGTAAATCAAAAACTTCTCAATTTTAAGTATAATGCAGTGTAAAAATTCAAAACAAAACCTTTCTCGCAAAAGGGACTAACTTGTCACGTCAAACAAGACATCTTAATGACTTTAATCCTATCATTCCAGTCTAAAGTATGCACAACATCACATTGCCATTACATTGAATACATCAATTAATGTCACTGGGAACACAAGTTTTCTTATCAAAGACTTTCATATGACCTCATCATGTGATAGTCACATCCATATTTGGGAGCTCAACATACCAGATGGACTCTCCATAAAACTGAGTTTGTACGTATTGGTACGAAAGCTGTGAAATGAACACCCTTGTCCTGGTAACTGAGGCACCCCAAGATTTCCCTTCTTCGCACTGTCCAAAAGAGTCCCATGTAAATCATACAATCATTGAACACCAACCACAACCAAAATAATTAAAAACAATGTCTGGCACAACATTTGGACCTCAATGAAAAAATTAGCTCCAAATCCAAACAAGTGATGAATCATGAATCTATTACAGTGTGAGACTCCAATACCAAACAAAATATGTCTAACAAACATATGCCAATTTCAACAAAAATTTAATCAATCTCCAAGCTAAGAATAAATATGGAGTTAATAAGGCCAATAGATGATACAAGAAGAGTTTTCTGTTACAGGAATCAACATATCACATATGGCATTAGAACCAGTTATAGTGTTTCTAATACCATCTTATGGATCCCAAAACAAACAGTAAATGCATGTCAAATTATTAGTTTTCTTTGCACAACCGAAACATTTTCTGTTTTATATAATCAAATAAATTTTTTTAATTTCTATGGGAAATCAAAATACTCACGCAAACATATTATGTTTGAAATTCAAAACTTGAAGAAGAAAAACAAACCTTGTTGGATCCATTTTTGCAGTCAAGGATTTAAGGGAAAAAAGTAGACCGAACATGAGCTTGTGGTCCTGCTGGGCATTAAGGGTGTGCAGTGGACAATTCCATTCTTCTTTCCACTTAATCAACAACAAATCTAAGAAATCAACAACAATTTTGACCCAGGAAATCATATATATATAATAGGAACAAATGAGAATGATGATGAAAAAAATCCACAACAAACCCTAAATCTTCAAACCCATAAAACTTAATTAATCAAACCCATTTAACAAATCAACAACAAATCAAACCATGGCAAGAAATCATATATATATATATATATATAATAAAAATTATCACACGGTGATACTTTTAAAAAATGATTACAATTTCATGTTAAAAATTATAATTTTAATAATTAACAGGGTAAAATCTATTTTACCTTATTGTAGTATTGTCTTGGAGTATTTAACCTCCCTTACATTTGAAAATAGCTAAAACCTCTCTTACGTTTTAAACTAAACAGTAATACTAACGTTGTTAATAATAAATGTAAAATGATGTTAATGCCCATTTACCTTCTTTATTTTCATTCTCTCTGCTATTACAATTCCGGTTTTGACCCGTTATCTATTGTATTCTAGATTCGAGTTGGTATGATTTAGAATAGTTATTCATATCTTGCTTCCCTTATTTCTCCTATATTTTGGTTATTGGGTTGTAGTTGTACGTTTGGAATAGGTTGGTTGCGTGTTTTTTTCAAACCTTTGTTGTCCAGATTTTGGTTGCTCTGTTCCAGCGAGAATTCATGCGCTCGAGCGGGCTTCACAAATTTTGCTCCTCCGCTCGAGAGGCCATTCTTGCACTCGAGTGGGAGTCATCAACTTTCATTATTTTTGCAGTTCTGTAAATACTAAGAGAGTGCATTGGACACTCGAGCATCCATTCTCACGCTCGAGCAGGGTCCTTTATCTGCAAAACTTTTGGAAATGTGTATTCTACGCTCGAGTTTCGCTTCTTGCACTCGAGCAGACGTTTGTGTCTGACACTCGAGCATCACTTTCCATGCTCGAGTGGACTGCGTGTATATCAGTACGTAAAGATAACATTTTGAATCACTTTTTCTTCTCTCTCTCTCTAAAACTTTCCAAAAACCTAGATCTATACATTCTCTCTCTAAAACTCACATTCTCTCTAAGATTTCATCTAGATCCGTTGGGATTTCCATTTTAATGCCTTTGAGAAAAAGATAGAGTGCATCAAGATCTTCATTTTGATCCGATTAAAAGTGGGTTTCGTCTTTCTTGGAGTCTCACTCTTGCTTGACTCATCTTCTTCCTTTGAGGTAGGGATTTTTCTACATTCTCATATGGTTTTTAGCTTAGTTATTTGTGATTGTGTAACAATGGTGGGATTTTTTGGAGTAATTTGATTTTTTTTATCACACTTCCAATAAAAGTGAGATCTTTTTTTGTCAAAGTGTGATCTTTTAGTATTTTTGTAGTAGTGTTGCTTCATTAATCAAGAATTCCAAGAGTTTTGTCTACGCATGAGCTCTCGTGCACAATCTTCCCAACCGTTTCCTCCACGCGTCGCTTCTTTACTGGATCATACTTGACACGCGTTATTAGGTCGTGTCGCCTCTGTGCACGCCACCTGACAAGCATGAGAGGTAATGGTAGTAGTAGTGGCAGTAGTGGTGAAGGTGGTGGATAAGAGATGGTGATGGTGGTGGTGGTGGTGGTGGTGGTGGCGAAGGAGATTAGTGGTGAAGTTGTGGTAGTGGTAGAGTAGATGAAGTGGCAAGGGTGAATGAGAGGTAATGGTAGTAGTAGTGGCAGTAGTGGTGAAGGTGGTGGATAAGAGATGATGGTGGTGGTGGTGGTGGCGAAGGAGATTAGTGGTGAAGTTGTGGTAGTGGTAGAGTAGATGAAGTGGCAAGGGTGAATGAGAGGTAATGGTAGTAATAGTGGCAGTAGTGGTAGTGGTGGCAATGGTAGTAGCAATGGTAGTCGTAGAGGTGAAGTGGCGACAGTGGTAGTAATGGTGGTAGTAATGGTGTTAGTGGAATGGCGTTTGCATTAGTGGTAAAGGAGATGGGTGGTGAGAGAGAGAAAAATGAGTGAGAGACAGATAGAGGAGAGAAAGAGAGAGAGAGAGAGACAAAGACAGAGTGATGTGCAAGAGAGAGACAAAGTGGTCGCTAAAAGTGCATTTTCTTGTAGTGGATAGATAAATCGAGAAGGAGCTTAGTAAATAGAGAAGACAGAAGGGAGAGAGTGAGCAACGCGAACATAGTGGGAGAGAAAAAGAGAGAGAAAGAGAAGAGAGAGAGAGGGACAAAAAGATAGAGAGTGAGAGACAGAAAAAAGATAGAGAGAGAAGAGAGATGAACGAGAGAGAGATAGAGAGAAGAGAGATGAGCGAGAGAGACATAGAGAGAAGAGAGATGAACGAGAGAGAGAGAAGAGAAATGAGCGAGAGAGACAGAAATATGAGAGAGATAGAGAGAAGAGAGATGAACGAAAGAGACAGAGAGAGAAAAGAGATGAGAGAAGAGATAGAAGAGTGAGAGACACAAAGAGAGAGAGAGAGAGACAGATAGACAGAAAGAAAAGAGTGATGAGTGAGAGAGAGAAAGAGAAGAGAGAGAGGAAGATGAAAAAATGGGTGAAAAGATATAGACAAAGAGAGGGGGAGAGAAAAAAAGAGTGAAAAGAGATAAACGAGAGAGAGACAGAGAGAGATGAGCGAGAGAGATAACGAGAAGAGAGATAGAGAAGAGAGACAGAGAGAGATGAGAGAGATAGACAGAGAGAAAGAGAGAGAGACAGACAGACAGAGAAGAGTGATGAGTGAGAGTGAGAGTGAGAGAGAGAGAGAGAGAGAAGAGAGATAGAGACAGAGGGATAGAAAGATGAAAAAATGGGTGAAAAAGTTCCGTGTCTAAAGCCTCATTTTCTAGTAGTGAGTCATCTCTATCATTCATGGGTAGAATAGAGGCGCGGATTTGAGAATTGTATATTTTATATAAAAATCAAATTGAAATATTTTATACAATCACACCTATTTAGGGATTGTGATTAAAAAGTAGTAATGTATATATAATCACACTTTAATTAAAATGTGCGATTAAAAAAAATATATATAATCACACTTATTTAAAAAGTGTGATTAAAAAGTAGTAGTGTATATATAATCACACTTTAATTAGAAGGTGCATGGGATTAATATGTTATTAAGGGCCAAGGTAGAATTTAGAAAAAAAGGGTGGTAAATGACATGGAAATCATCTAATGAATGTAGGAAGAAAGGAAAATGTTATAGATCCCAAATGAATTACCAAAATATTTTACCAAATCTCTTACATGGGTGTGGGACCCACACACATGTGATTTATGTGAGTCTCACACCCATGTAAGAAATTTAATAAAATATTTAATAATTTATTTGGGGTCTCTAGTATAATTAAGGAAGAAATGGCTTGGTTAGAGGCATCCCAATACGCCACATGTGGATGCAATGATTAAGGAGAAAATTAGGATTGGTGAATCAGCGGGTTGGGCTGTGTATATAAGGAGGGAATGAGAGTGAGTTGGGAATGGGAATTAAAGTTACGAATTAATATTGATGTAAGTTATATTATACCTTGAGTAGTTATAACTTATTTTATTATTTTATAAATTATTTTATGCAAATTATTATTTTTTAATTATATTAATATTCAATTATGTTATTCATTTTATGAGCCCTACTTATTTAAAATTGAAACCCATGAATATGATTGTATAAATTTTAGAGTTTATTTGACAATGAGTATATAACCATTTATTTTTATAAGTATCACCATGGAGGTCCTATACATTGGGAAACTTAAATAACCATTGGCCCTCTGAATTGTCACTTTAGTAACCCTCTAACGGTCTCATGCCTTGGGGGATTTAAATAACTATTGACCCTCTGATTTGTCACGTCGTGACCCTTTGTCTGTCATGGATCCATTGGCCTTATGTTCTGTTATGTACCGTAGTTATGATTGTTTTGCATATATGATTTTTGTATTATATGTCCGTTATTTAAAATAATTTATTCGAACCAAACTATTCATTATTTAGCCTAAATAATTATCCATGATGATTTGTATACCCTTATGTTCTTAGTATAATATTCATCACTCTGCTATATGGTTATAGCTGTTAAAACCCTTTCAGGTGAAGAAACTTAAGGAAAAATGGTATTACCCCATTAATCAAGACCCAGACTTGAGATGAACATCATGTTCTCTCTCTCTCTCTCTCTTTTTTTTTTCCTCTTGTATTTATTTGTAATTATTATCTGACTTATGTTACATAAATAATAATTCTCATGTACACTTCAGATAATTATCTACATCTTTTATTTCATTCCACTGCATTATTTAATTTAGTTACTTTGAACTAATCTTAGAAATTTTAGAATTTAACTAGTTGTGAATCCAACCCTAGGCACCGAGGTAAGTTGTGACAGTTTGTCTGAATCATCTGAAGATGACAAATCTTGATCGCTTTGTGATTTTTCATTTATGTAGCCTTCCTCAATCCATGCCTGCAAAAGTGGATCATTAATAGATAATATAAGAGTTGAGATTATATCTATTATGAGTGCATTCTATATTGAGAGTCTTGACTAACTCTCCCCACTCTTTAGAATCTTCTTTTTAGAATATTCTAGAAGTTTTCATATGAATCTAGAATATTCCGGAAAGATCTAGAAGATTTTGGAAGACCTAGAGAAATTTGAAAGATACTAGAACATCTTACAAGGTTCCAGAACATTAGAGAAGTTTGGAGAAATCTAAAGAAATCTAGAAAGTTTTAAAAGGTTCTAGAATATTTTAGAGAAGAATAGAAAGCTCTAATCTAGATTATTCTAGAGTGTAGTGAAAGTATAAGTGTATTCTAAAAAGTTCTTCAACTAGTATAAATATGAGATGAGTAGATGTACTAGGTATTGAACAATTGAGTAAAAGAAGAGTAAGTCCAAAGTGAGTGGTCAAGCACTACAAGAGTGATCTAGTGTAAGGTGTCTCAAGATCTTGTGTGAGGAAGACACAAAGTGTGAGTGCTTCAATGTAGGTGTGAGTGGATAAGTGAAGCGT